CTGGAATGTTATTATACCATTAATCAACATCAATTTATTTTTAGTTGAAATCATGGGTAGTCCAAAAGTCTGCAGATTGCCATGAAAGTATGAAATAGCAAAAAAAAAAAAAAAAAAAAGGAAAAAGAAAATGCTAATCCACACAGTTTTCAAACTTGACGCTGCACTTTTGTAGGTCCCCAGCCTCCAAACATTCCAAGTGCCAATCCAGCAGCATTTGACAGGTTGTTTAGGAAACAAGGCCAATCCACAAAGATATATCACAAATGTTTGCATCCTGCATACTGGCTATCTTGTGACTAAAAATATGTCTTATTTAATATCAGGTGGGTCATCATGATATTAAGGCTGACTGGTATACAATGCAAATTGATTCTATTATAATTCAAAACAAAATACAGTTTGCTGGCTGTGAGTTAAATGGTTTGATAGCTACATTTTACAAAATTAATTCTCAATATGAATAATCTCAATATGAATAATCAGTTAAAGATTCATTCTTATGTTTACCTTCAGATCCATTATAAAGGGATTAAAGGGGAAAGAACCACAAAACTGAAACATTTTGAAAGGTCTCTTTTCCTTCACTATTGCTGCTTTTGAGCAATACATCACAAAGCTGCAGGTCAAGAGAAAAGGGACAACAACCTCTATGTCAACGAGTTTTAAAGGATACTGCTTAACCTGCCAATTTTGTTGCCCCTCCTTCATTTGCAGGTCAGAGTTAACATCCATTTGCCACCCTTCAAAAAACACATGTACATGGGAATGAGCACCTATTTATACATGTGTACACATAAAGGCAGCTAGAGTGGTGGCGGCTTCCAGGGGAATTGAAATTAATGAGCGCAATCAGAAGGGAGCCATGCAAGGGCAATTAATACAAGCAAAGTGAGCAAAACTGGTTTGGTCGGCCAGGCATAGCCAGAGCTGAAGAGATGGAGGATTAAGATGCAACTGCAGACAAACCCCACAGCTTTTCCACACGCAGCAGATGTCCGCGGAGGGAAGGCGATGGGAGCCTGGCACGGACGTGCATCCGCCAACCGGCCACTTGGTCAGCCCGGCCCAATGCAAGCTGACAACCTCCTGGCAGCATTCAGATAACACCATCTCCACTGTTTAGTTTGAGAGCCAAGGGACGGAACTCACAGGGGCCCTTGGGCTGCATACGAAAGGGGACTCATTGCAAAGCTTCACAGTGGAGCCACTATGTGTGAAAAAGAGAGATAGAGGGAAATAAAGAGATAAGGAGGAAAGTGCAGAGGGAAATGTGTGCAAGCACAACTAAAGTACATCTCAATGTGAGCGATGTAACCCCCATTGTTGCCTCAGGGTTTACTGATTAATACATCCATGTATGTATGTGCATTCCTTCAAGCACACATCTGCCTGACTACGAATAAACACATCAAAACCAGATAGTCTCAGAAACAGCTATGCTGGCTGTTTTCTTTAAATGACACTAAATGACAGCGTCACCACCCAGGATCCTTTCCCTCATCTCTGGGTTGAGTGGCGTTTGCTCCCCAGATGGTCTCGCATTTCCAATGTTTATGTGAAACAACGATGCGCATGGAGGGATGCAAGCCAAGAGAGGGCCTGATATGAACTCCTTTGCCTGACACAATATGTGCTAAAATGGAGAAATTGTTTCAACTTAAACATTGGCGAACATAATGAAAACAGATTATGAAGTTAAATATGTGATACTCATGCATACTCACAAAAAAATAATTTACATTCACCATGTCTCTGAACTCCAGCAATCCTCTAACATGGAAATATTAGCAGAGCTTGAGTTTTGATTGATATTTTATTTTATGGAATATTCAGGCTAGCCTTGTGTCTCGAAGTCTTGAATAAGACGAATCTGTCTTTTAAGATAATATATATAGTGTAGAAATACAACCTTAAAAAAGTTCAAATAAAACCTTTGCAGCAGATCACAGCAGTCTGACAGCTCCATAACCAAAAACAATAGAAAGCCAGACTTCTCCGCAGATGCAGATAGGCTGGAGAAATATGGACTGTTGACCTTGTTTTAGCGCTCGCTGGTTTATGAAACACTGCTGGGTGGGAGGGCAAGTTGGACAAAATGACAAAAACAACTCAGTCGAACTTTGACTGAATTCTCTTCTAACGTGTTTTATTGGTAGGGGAAATATAATAGGTTGATTGATTTGCTTTCTGCACATAAATCCAGCGCTTTGTTGTCCATATAATACAGAATATAGATAATCCTCTGACTCCTTCAGCAGCACAGATAAATTACCAACACTGAAACTTGTGAAATACATGCTCTTGTGATAACAAAAGCCAACAGTTTAACGTCTCTCTCTCTCTCAGAAGCCCATTACTTTAATGGAGGACAATTCATGCAAGAAAAATTTACAGTTTCGCTCAAGAATGTAGCAGGATAGAAATGGCCTGATAACATCAGCTCACTCACTTTGCTCTTATGAACTGATGAGTTTCCTTAATAGAGTTAAGAGTTTCTTCTTTTTTTTTTCCATATACAGGGATCAATGCTTTTATTCTCTCCCGTGTAGCATGTCTGCCCTCTTCTGGCCTCATGCTGGCAAAAGGGTCAAGACATATTGACTCAATATAGAGAGGAGATATTAGAAGGAATATGAATATTGTCTGTTTAAGATATTCAAGATCTGATTTTGGAAGAAAAAAGGAAATTGTGTCTATTAAGTACAACAAAATGCAATTTCATTTAATACATTAATAACAAAATGTATAGTCTTATATGGTGGAATAAATTCATATATCATTAATATAATTAATATTCTTAAATATATATTTGTATATTTAAAATATTTTTCATTTGAATAAAATAACTTCAAAATGTGTTTTAAAATGACTGCCCCTGTCATTTAAAAAAAATCCTCTTCAGAATCTATAGAGCCATGCAACCATTAAGACAGTCAGCTAAAAGTGTTCAATTAAGTGATCACTAATCATTAATGAGGGGTTTTCTTGGGGACCCATCAGCAACCAAGCAGCCAAAACCTAAGTGGAAAAAAATGGATTTAAAATTAAAGCACTTTTCTAAAGAGCTCACCACCCACAAGCTGTTTCAAAGAGGTCTTGGTCTAAATCTTTAGCACATTTCTTTATGAGAAACACACTCCTCTATTGGAGGAAGGGAAAGGGGACACAAAAAAAGGAAAGAAAATCCCTCTGCAGAGAAAACCATCCCCAGACGCCACAGCAGCGGTATTTTTGAACCTGTGCGTCAGAGCTGCGCCCGTGCCCAAACCGCTTATTAAAACGCTGAGAAGCCAAGTGCCATAAAGACAGAAGGCAAAAGGCTTGTTATTCTTTCTTAGGGGTGAACAGGCTGAGATCAATGGCTGCAGTGGTTTCCTCTTCACCACAACTATGGTACTGTAAAGCACATACAGCCATGCGGCTCCGACCCATATAGTCACAGATATTAACTATTTCTGGGGCTTTTGAAAAGGCCTGCCAAGAATAATTTCCCACATGTAACATTTCCCACAATCCCACAGAGTCATATTGACACAGTGTGCCCCATCAGGCCCTGCATGCCTTTCCTGGGATGACTCGGTAGAAACAAAAAAAGATTAGGAACCCTGCATCAGTATACACAGTGATGTTTTGTGCAGCTGAAATATGGATAAAGAATATGAATGAGTGAAAGACAAAGCAGCACCAGGGATACATTCTCAATTTGCTAATCTAATCAAGTCAATCAGTCCTTCACGGCTCTAATTCTACTTTGTACACTCGCCCCAGAGTAGGATCTGGATCACACCAAATGCATTTAGACCCTACTGAGAAAAGAGGGACTTTCCGGGCCAGGCCCTAACCCTGCCATTTGACATGTCTGTCCTATAGAGAAGATGAGTACAAATGCCCTGTGTAGTTCTCAGACATTTCAAGAGAAGTGACATGATATTTCCTTCTTCAAGATCTTTCCTTATCTGGAGTCAGGGTTCATCGTAAACACTCACATCAAATGGCACTGCGACCCATAAAGGAGTCATGTGTGATACATCAGAGCTAGTCTGTCCCACCACAGCTGGTGAATGTGTATTTTTAAGATAGATGTCTGACCAAAGAGTGAAGTCATTCCAGCATGGTGTGACAGACTGTCAGTCTACGCCATCTAGAGTGAAAACTAAAAGGCTCGGACAATGATAAATATATGGGAAAAAAGATTATCTTTCAAGCATGTTCATTCTAATTATATGCATTCTGGTCTTGAACCCTAAAAGGCAAGAACAGAGAAGCGAGGCCACGGGCTGATGTGTTTTTTCAATCCACGCATACACGAGCTAACAAAAAAAAACCAAATAAATTAAAGGAAATAGGAAATAGGAATTGCAAATTCAGTTTGTTCTGCAATTGTTCAGTTTAGGCAAAATATTCCACCATGCAAATGTTATGCAAAATTACAATAAACAGAATACACAGAGCATTAGAAAAAGAAAAGAAAAGATCAGGCCATTTTCTCCACCCCTGCATAATTATATCAATATAAAAAAAGCTTGTGCTGGAAACTTGCTATCACAACCATGCAAGTATGGAGGAGCATCATCTCCTCTCCTTTCAAACATAGTTCCTCAGTGTAACTTCTGCTAAGGCAGCAAAAGTATACAGTAGATCACTTTAACATTCCCAAATGGTCAAAGCCCTCCAAACCATACATCAGGTCACTCAAAGTTAAGACTGGAAAATAATAAATAGTGTAAACTGATGTAAAGTTTCACACACACATGTACTGTATGTAAGGAGAATTTAATGTAATTTAGTGTACTTTAAAGTGATGGTGGACAAAAAACGAAAAAGTCCAATTTTCACATTTAACTGAGTGTCATGAATTTAACATGAATTTAAAGTAACAGACCTGGTGGACTCTTTTTTAATAGTTTTTCAAGTATCTAATGTACATTTCATTAGCCTTTTATGTATTTTTAGCAATATAATGGAGAAATAAGAAAAAAGATGGTGGGAGTACTACGGTCAATAGCTGCACTGCAGTTGATGAAGACGCATTTATATCACTATAATTATAATCAACTCTACCTATACAGTATTTAATCAAGAAAGCTTATTCATAATTGATGCTTTGAGATGCATTAGTTGTGGTAACCATTCTTAATGTATATAGACTAAAAAAGAACATAATTTCTTCATATGTGCACGAAACACAGCAAAGATGTTTGCACTGGTGGACTTTCTCTGTTTGCTTGGTGGGTGAGAATATTAATAAACTGGTAAATATTATGGAAAACTTATATTCACCTGACAGTAAAATATCAAATGTTTGCAATAATGCCTATTTTATTGGACCTTTTATTGTCACTTTGTCAATTTCTTCTTCTTCCGACGTACAATTTACAATTATAATTACACCAGAGATATACACAACTATATTACATATTTACAAAATAACATTTCCTATTTAAAAGTAAATCTCTATTATATGCAACAAAAGGCACAATGTCCAAATGTAGAGCTTACATTGCATAGTATATTTAAGTAATTACTAAAAGGTCTCCAGGGTGAGAAGCAATGAAAAATTAATTCTCTGATAAAAACTGAAAAAAGAAACCTTTTTGAAATCCATGAATTGAAGTTGTATTTTAACAAGGAAAAACTAAACTGAAAATGCCAGTGTTCTCTGAGCTGTCAACCTTTACATGACTACGTAACAGACAGGAAAGTAGAAAATGGATTTGTGCTTGTAAGGTTGCTGCAAACAATACCAACCCTTAGTGATCTCTGTAATGTAGTTAGGCAATTTCAATAAGAGAAAAACTAAAAGTGAGCATGCTCAATAATTAAAACCATCCCAGGGTAAATGGATTACTGTAATTAAAAAGGGTCTATTTCATCAGTTGCAAAGACGCAGAAGTTCACTTGAAGTGTAGCTCAGAGCAGGTGCTGACACGTCTCCCCCATCCACAGCCTCTTGTCCTCTGATCTTTAGGTTGACAAACTTGATCTTCCAGCTGTTGTCCAGTGGTGAGCGGATAAGACCAAAAATGTTCTCGAAGATGCCAAGACAGGCTGTGTCTCTGTGGATAGTCCCCGCCACACTTATCAGCACCAACCCGTGGGGGGAGGCCAAGGCTTTGAGGCCCTGAGGCTGCAAGTTGGGACTAAGGAGTAGGCGCTCTGCATTGGTCAGGGCCAAGAGACGCTGGCTGACCAGTTCAGCACCCAGAAGCTCATCCATCTGTTCCAAGGAAACTCTATGAGAGGCAGATTATGTTATAGTTCATTTTGTCTTCAATAAAATCAATATGAAGTACACAGAGCATAATTTCTAATAAAAAAATCTAAAGCTCCTGTGTACACAGACAGGTTAACAAACTACATCATCAGCATCAGTTCCACATTGTTTCACTGTTGGTCTGCAGTATATTTTCTGCTCATTATGGACGTAATCTTACCTCGATATGAGCCGCAGTCGCACATCTGGCCAGAAATGTTGTGGGCCCCAATCTAAAGGCTGCTGGCCCAGTGAAGGGTTCTGACTGTTCAGGATTTGGAAGAACCACTGGCAGAACTGCTGGCCCATGATCAGTGGATCAAAACCTACGTCAGTTTTTATATCTTTTAAATCGGATCCCGTGGGCAGCAGCCTTTCCTCATCAACCTCAGAGAGAGAGACATGTTTGTGCTGGTTATTTACCTGTTCGTTCTCACTGAGCTACAGCATCTGGTTAAGACCATTTGACTTCTAGTCCCTCACCTTCACTGACGACCAGAGGTCCAGCGTCCTCCTCACCAGCTGGTGTTTCTCACTATTAGGGGGCATCGCCACCCCTTCTTTGGCCAAATACTTGAATATTAGTTCACGGTTAACCTTTTTTCTTTTTAGGAGTTCCTCGGCATTTTTAGAGAAGGAAAGAATAGTTTCCACGGCCTCTACAGTGAGAGATTGGTAAGTGAAAGAAAAAAAAGGAATGCTTTATTTTAGAAACACTACAATCGACCAAAGGAGTTTTACATTTTTATTTTGATAGTTTACGAACTAATGACAATTATTTCACTTTATGGGGAAGTCATACAAAATTAAGTGTAGTCCATTTAAAAGAACATGCACTTGAGGACGCAGTCTCTGGCAGTCAGTCACTTCTCAGTACAACAACATAACGTTGGTAGCTCATTCACTTGCCCCTTGCTTTCTGGTACAAATTTAAATCTTACCTGTGACATTTTCCACAACTATCATCTTATTTGTGACTGTGTCACTTAGCGATAACAAGTCGGCTGTTGTCAATGAGCTCAATATCTTTTTAAATCCAACACGCTCTGTTTCTGATAGCCCTGACATGTTTGCAAATAATTAAAACTACTTCTTCCGTACGTGTCCGACTATAAATCCGTCCGTACTGAAACAAGTTTCAGTGCTTTACGGCCGACTCAAAGCAATGATTGAAATTGTTTTTATATCTCGCCATTATTATTGTACATTTGTCCACCGTATTTGGAGGGTCATTATTGGTGCTAAACAGCTGACATTCCGTTTTTAAAGGCAAAACAACCATTATGAAGGGAGAAATCCATGTTATTGTATGACATTATGCATTTGAATGGCTAATGTTAGTTAAAGGTTAAGATCAGTTTAGACACTATTCTAAATTGGAAATAACAGAATTGCAGAGTTGCTTGTATATTATACAATATATATTATTGGGATGAAGGGTGTTTTACAGAAGGGTTTTGTCTTTAAGGATAAAATTAGACTACATAAAGACAAAGTTTTGAGAGGAAAAATAAGTCTCTCGTAATAATAACTCAGGCATTTCTATTCAACGTGGTCAATAGTTCGTGTTTTGATTAATGTTGGATTGCACTAGAATATTCAAATTTACTAGAGCGCAAATGAAGGCATCACCAGACGCTGCCTAGCCGGTGTTGTGCGAAAAAGTGAATGTTTGCGAGAATCTGATTAAGC